AGGTCCGTCGCTTGTCGGCGTGGCGTGAACCTTCATTACATCATCATTAACGAAGGAAACCACGCTTTTTATCGCGCTACGTAGAATAAAATGTTCCTGTCGTAGTAGAGATAAGAGTTATTCTATCTGACTATGTGGAAATATCTATTTTTCGCTGCAGAAAGCGATATTATTTGAAAACAGTTACGAAGATAGAAAGAAATTGTTTGAACTTCAGAAGAATATAGTTTTATTATTTTAAACTGATAGAATGTTGCAGAAATTACATTCTTGGTAAGTTTATAAAAATATTTTTAGAATAAGTTTTCAAATATTTATTATTAAATTTTAATGAATTTAGTAGAATGATGTAATTTAACATTGAATAAAAGCAGATGTTTTGTTAAATCTGTAAAATTTTCCACTTTTGTGCTCCTAGAATGGGTAAATTTTACATTGTCGTGCATCAACATAGCGTGCGATAATTGTACACAATCAAGTGTTGTCGCACGCGCTTTGTCGCACGATGATTCGCGACGGCATGATTCATGCGCATAACTTTACGATTCGCGATTGATAAAAAGTTTTTTCAGCTTTGAAAGTCACTTCGCGTGGAAGTGACTTGAAATATTTTTAGACGATTATTCCCTTTGAACGAAAATTATCACATAACATTGACGTGCGAGTGAATAATTAATTTTATCGATTGAGCAATCGAGATTTATAGCATGCTCCATTTTTCACGGATGCGAAATGAACGCACTGAGAATATTCGCGACGTATCAATTGAGTTATCGCGCTCTTCGCGCCGTACTAATAAAATTAGATTGTGCGAACTAAATGTATCCGTCTAATGAAAACGGACCACGCTGGCGGCTTGCGTCCTTGCAGGTTTCGGAATTTACCCTAAATCGTAGTGAAAGTTTTTTGTGAAGAATAACGGAAGTCGTGCCATCACTAACGCAGCGTGTACAATGGCACAATGCTTAATGTCGCATCACAGGGGGTTGCATATCCGCATTTTTTCCAACCGCCATGGTTGGTATTGTTGCGCGCCGAACGAAAATAATCTTCTCGGAATTCTTTTCTATGCCTAGATGCCTTTCTTCCGAATATTTGTCTGTTCGAACCCAGACAATTTTCCGATTACTCAGGAAGATTCCAAACATTCCTAGTTTCGAAACATGTGTTGGGATGCCAGATTTAGGAATTTGTCGGTAGATTTAAACCGCATTAAATTGAAATACTTTTTTTCTCTCGTAAATCTAAATTTAACAATCGTTTTACAATTTGTTTCTCAGAGAATCTCGTTGTTGAAATTAAGGTCGCGTCGCAATCACGCGCCGGTTTCGGGAACCTGCGTGAAACCGGGAAAAGCCGGCACTCCACCGATATATCTCGCTACTACATTGTTTTTCTGTACGCTATAACGAGACGGAAGCACGCGACGTCAGCTAATAATATCCGCCGCCAGCCTAAACTCGGGTAAAGGGTGTCAAATTCGAGACGCCTGAACAATTAGATAGTCTCACATTCTTCTTGCTTTGCTTTTTTTTCCTTTTCCTAGAACGGAAACCTTCTTAGAAAGGTACACCGTTGATTAAAATAAACACTAATTTCTAATTAATTAAAAATAATTGAGAAACAACGACGGAAGTTTTGTATATTAAAATTGTGCAAACTGCGTGCAAAACCTTATTTTATTATTTTTTGCAAAATTAAATTAGAAAAGATGCTTTTTCCATCAATTTTAAATAATTATTTTCGTTGATTCTTATTATTTGATGTAAAATATTATAAACTGATGCAATGGATTTTGTTGTATCTTTGCTCAGTCATTTTAATTATTCCAGCTTATTAGACGGAATTAGACGTTAAAAATTTTCTTGCGGAGCTGTTGGAATTTTTATCCGTAAAGTCGCATCTGTTACATTGTTTATTGTGTTTTGTATTTCGTCCCACCACGAGCTGCGCCGCGTATGCATCCCGTGCAAGCTGGGCCGCGCGCGCATTTACGCCACGACTCACGTAGACGATACGTGCCGTTCGCGAAACGCGTGCAACATACATAGCTTTCCTTCCCGCAGCACGTAGCGATATATGCACTCGAATGGATGGCCGGGCGATGGATGCATCGCGCCGGTATGATGCACTCTCGCTCGACCCGATTGCCGCGCCTTTCGACGATAGACGCTCGCAGCCACTCACGAAGGCATCTAACGCGAAATGCAGCGCCTCGTTCACTCCCAAGAGAATTAATTTCAACGCCGCGAACGGAAATTGAAACTAAATTTACATTAATTTGTCATGCGATCCGATTTTTCCCCCGTTCAATCTGGTTCTTTTGATTTCCTCGCTTCTCGCTCGCTGAGAAATCAGCGTCGAGCCGCTGCTCGCTTGAATTACTGGGTAATTAGCGCATGTGAGAAATTAACGAGTCGACGTGCGAAAGTCCGAGCGCGCGAATCAGTCGCGGAGAAATGCGGTTGCACGGCTGCACCGTTCGTGCATCTGCTTGCCCGCACGCGAAAGAGTTTCCTCCTCGCTTAACGTATGCGCGCATACCGCGCATACCGTTTCTTCACCTTGAAAGAATACGCGCGCGGATGCGCCGGGTAGCTGCGACAGTCTCGCGATAACTCCGCCGGCAGTCAATCGTATGATAATATTATCGGAATTAACTACAAATTTTTAATTACAAATGATGTAGGAAAATAATGAGCAAGAGCGGCATTGTTAAAATGTTAAATTATTTGCAAATTATATGCAAGGTGCGTAATTATTCGAATTAGTGGGACATTGAAGGATTATTGAACTGTATTGAGGTAGAAATTTGAAAATCCGAGTCGGCTGGAGTCACGCGAGATTTTCACGGCAACGGCGGGAATTTCTCCAAAATAATAGTAAAAGAAGATCGAAAAGCGCATTCCGGAATATCTCGGGCGCGTGTATCCACTCGCTAATAGAGCGTGACACGTTTGAGAGTAGGAGAGATCGCATGTATATCTCCGGTATGTAGCGCATATCCTGGATCCATCCCTCTCGTCCTTGGAAGAAAGCGCGAAATGCACTCGGAGCGCGTCCAATTAAACAGCCGTTGCGCTATGATAATGCTGGCCGATATGATAAACGCGTTCGGTCGCTCGCTCATTCGAATCTCGCGCTTAGAGAATTCCGCAGCAAAATGGGATAATAAATAACGAGCCGACAGCGAGAAGCGGGTCTTCGAAACGCTCGAATCCTGCACGGGCGATAAACGGAATAAAAAACATGCGGGTCGAATTTCACGCCACAATTGAGAGTTGCATATAATTACTATAAATTGTAAATTGTTACTTTTAAAGAATCGAATTTCTTCACAATTCGGAAGATAAAGTGCGTCGCAGTCAGTTTTTAACATATTGAAAGACGAATGTCGGAACCGATTGGAGCGAGCTCTCGCGAAAGGAGATGAAGATGAAAGGACCGGGGCGGCGTACTGACAGACGGACAGAACTCGCGTCACCAACGATGCGGCGACGCAGACGTGGTGAGCAGGAAGTGACATCCGGTCGGTCGGTTTCTCCGGGCCGGATTCACGATACGTCCACGCGTCCTCGCACGTTGTTCTCTATTTCAGTGAACCGTCGCCGCGTCACGCCGTGCAAGACTGTCAATGGCTAACCGCGGTCGAATCACCCGTCTGGTTTTATCGCTCCGCTGATGCGTCAGCAGGCTGTCCCTCATTAAACGCTTCCTCTGAACTGCGGATTTTCCCCGGCTCTTTCGCGACAATACATCTTTTCCTTTAATATCGTAGGCGCTCGTCGTTTTTGCGAATCGCAAGGAGAATCGATTTGCGGAAATTGAGAGCTTCTTGTAGAAATTAAATTTCGTAGAAAATAAATGACTTTTCCGATTCGATTTGACGGAATTTCAATTGGCGTCGCGCAATGACGTGTGTAAAATCGTAAATTGGAAAGTTGCGATGAATGATAATCTGCCTCGACATTCTCGCTGAGAGAAAATATAGGCGACAGGCGTCGATAGATAGGCGATCGATATAGGTGCTTTTAAATGCTGTTAGAAAGGTGCGTCCTAATGCACTGTTCGCAGAATGAAGCATCGAGCGAAGATGAAGAGGAGGGTAAAGAATGCAGGGAAGAGACCGGCCAGCCGTTCTTTCTTGCTATCGGAGAGGCGTGACCGCGCGAGGTCACTGATAAACGATAATAGAGTCTCTCTGTCTCTCTCTCTCTCTCTCTCCCTCTTCTTATCAATGTGCATGGCCGACGACGTGCACACGCGAAACTACGAGGCCGGCGAAACACGATCGCTTTCTAAAATAGTATACTGTTTCGCTCGAGGAAATCGATAGACGAGCGCGATGGTCGCATCGATATTAACAAACTTCTTTTCAAAATTCCACTCTTAACAGCTTTGCGAAAGTATTGGGCGAATCCTTTCTGCCGTTTGTTTCTCTTGCGTAAATTGTCCTTTGTTTTATCGCGCAACGAGGAAACAATACGTTCGTATCTGTGCTCCGAATTATTGTCGCCGGCCACCAATTCGAGAATCGTGTCTTTATCTCGCAAAAATTGATCAGTAATGATCGATTGACTTGTTACACGATAAGAGCGCATCATCGATTGAACCTTAAACCGGAGAGCTCGCTGATAAGCGCATTCGGCGCTCTTAGCATTCTATTTCGCCATTTCGTTTAATTATTTGTCCAATTTCGCAAAATTGTTTTGATGGAATTTTTCCGATTTGTTTTTGCATCATCTAAAATTGTTTTCTATTCAAATTCTCAATATTTATCTGGCGTGACGATAAAAAGAAAGAAGAAGAAAAAAGATACCATTAGACTAGATAATCTTCAAACTCCAACTGATATCTCTCAATAGTCACAATAGTTTACATGTCCTCATAATTCTTGATAACTCTATATTCCTTATTGGGTTATCGAAGAAGCCGCACTCGTATCACGACCGATCAAACGAAGGAGACCTACTTCTAACCGAAATTTTTCCCATTTTCAGAACACCAACGGACCGAGGCCGACGTACGTGGGCGCCAATAACGGAAACGCGGGTGGCGCCGGCGGCGGCGGTGGAGGCGGTGGCGGCGGCGGTGGCAGCACCGGGGGCGCCGCTAATGCCGGCAGTGTTGGCGTTGGTCCCGCGACGGGCGCGGGTGCTGGTGGCGGCGGCGGCGGTGGCGGCGGCGGCGGCGGCGGCGGCCACGGATTGAAGGGCAACACGGGCGGCGGACCGCGTGGCGGTAACCCTGTGCAGTATCGTGCGAGCGGCGGCGGCGGCGGAGGTGGCGCTGCCACCTGGAGCACGGCGCCCTCGCACGCGGCGGTGGCCGCAGCGGCGGCAGCGGCGGCCGCGTATCCCACTTTCACGCGCTATCCGCCGAATACAGCGGGGACGGCCACCGCGGTTGGTGGCGGTCCTCAGCAGCTGCCGGCCTCTGCGAATCCTTTCGTCACCGCCACGTACGCGCAACACGCGACGGTGAGTTTATGTCTGTCATGGCGTGTTATCCCTAAATTCCGATCGAGATGTCGGTCAACGGACCTTGGTCACGTGATGATAATTACGACACGGTTGTATGGCAAGTGTCGCAGGTTAAAAGATAAGGGCTTTGATATGGATTTAATGCCTTGCGCGATATTCTTATGAACTCTCGTGAACGAGGATCGGAAAGAAACATAGCTCTGTATGCGTTATTTTCTAAATTTCATTGCAAGAAAGATATTTATACATGTTTCGTTCTTTAATTTTAGGATATTTTGTGAGTTGTTGTATATAATGTTTATGGTATTTGCAGTACGGTGGACAACGGGTGCCTACAGCTTCATCTCCAGCGAACACTAACAGCAGCTCTAGCAGTGCTACTGGTAGTCAAAGTGGCACAATGAGCACGAATCTTAGCAACAACGCCATGCAGGGACAGCAAGCAGAGCAGCTATCCAAAACAAATCTTTACATTCGTGGCCTCAATCAGAATACCACTGATAAGGATCTTGTTAGCATGTGTTCTCAGTAAGTAGCGTTGTGTATTCGACACACGACCTTTGATCTTTGTTATTAATCGGTGTAATTCTGTTGGAAATGAGTTCTTCAAAGAGAAGACAAATTATTAGATGATATAGCTTATTGGCCATCAAGGCTTTATATTTATTAATATTTTATCAATTTTATTACGATTAGTAGCCATGTTAAATTATTTTAACAGCGAGTATACACTTAAATGTAACTAAGTTGACATCGATATGTTAACCCAAACCCAATATTTTTGCAGATATGGAACGATAACCTCTACCAAGGCGATTTTGGATAAGAATACAAATAAGTGCAAAGGTAACTAATTACATTTATACTCTTCGATATTTTTTAGCTTCCTAAACTCAATTTAGACTTTCTTTGTTTCAATATGTCTATCTCGTTGCAGGTCATCTAATTTGAGTTATTTTGATATTTAAACTACTTATCGCTCTAAATGATAAACTCATTGTTTTCTAACAAAAAATATTGCTAATTACAGATCTCGAATTAATTGTTTGTCTTATTATCAAAAGATTGTCGTTATCTTATAACAAATGGCTTAAAGAGATGGCTATTCTTTAGAAATTTAACTTTCCTGTGATTAACTTCGTACTGTATAATCGTAAAAGTAAAATATTTCGCAACCTTTGAAAAAGAAAAATTGATGAGATTTGTACCATCTTGCTTGTGTTTCAGGATACGGCTTCGTAGACTTCGAATCACCGATGGCGGCAGAGGGTGCTGTGAAAGCATTAGTCGCTAAAGGAATCCAAGCTCAGATGGCCAAAGTGGGTATCTGGTTGCTCCGTAGACTGGACAGTGTACGTGGTTGTGCATGCAAGTACAGAGTAATACCAGAGTAACAGTAAACTCTCTCTTTCGTTCTTTCTATCATTTTCCACCCTGTTTCTATCTGTTGCGTTTTGTTGTGTTTTTCATCATCTGTCTTTCCTCTCATATCTCTTCTCGCCGACTCGGTTTATTCGCGAGGCCTCCGTCGGGGAGTCGATCAAGATGGATCGCATTCTATTCACGTTGCTTCCGGGTGCAAACTGCAAATGCGTTTTCGATATCGATTTCTCTCTCCCGTTAGATGCAGAATTCAAAACAAATATTATTTATTACAATTGATGTTTCGGCAAACTTATTATTGATCTTAAATTTTATATATTAGTTTTCATAAACTTAATGTGTTGATGAATCGGAAAAATAATTTACAATTCAGCATTTATGCGTGAAATTTGCTTTACGCTTCACAAGTTTTACGGATGAGTTCCATTATTTTTTCTTCCTGATTTTTCGATGCCACGACCAATTGATCTGATAAAATTTAGGTTCTACGAATGTATGAAGCAGTCACAAGGATAAAACTGAAGCAAAAAAAATCTATCATTAACGATTAATTTGGATAGCATAAGTCGCGTAAATTCAGAATGAATATATTCGTAATACTTTCTTCACCAAGAGCCTCTGTCTCTTTCTTTCTCTCTGTCTCTCTTATTTGTTTAGAAGTTCTCCTATATTTTGTCATTCTGTCTTACGTACCTCACCTTACCTATCTATCCCACCTACCAGACCTCTATCGGTGCTTGCTGCTATACCTCGGCTATAAATATACAACCGATACTATGCTATGTCGACACCATGTTTACTATCACGTCTCTCAGAACTGCATTCTGCAAGTATTCAGCATTAATTTCGAGACCTTCTATATATAGTGACTTGAATAACCCTATAATTATTTTTGTCCACAAGCACCGCGTTTCTAGAGTTGAGACTGAAAACTCGGTAAAGAACTCGGATTCGATAACAAAGAGAGAGAAAAAGAAAAAGTTGCATTGAAGTATGGCAGCACAAGCGACGTATATCAGTAGCTCTAGTAATATCGATATATATTGTGCAACGTACATTCATTCATTATGTTCTCCGTGTAACGTTAGCAAATCTGAAGAGAGTACCACGTGAACAGACACGTGCTATAATCAAATTAGACTTACAAATGTCGACTCGATAGCAGTGTTCGGCGGTGTGATTGTTTATTTCTTCACCGAGAAGACGATTCGCAAATTAATACAAATACTTCGCAATACCTGTTGATCACAATTATCCATCGATTCGATAATCACGCACGACTGATGTGACCGCAACCAGAGCTGATCGAAGATCTCGATTGCATTTCGCCCGACTCTGCTCGATAAGTCGTCACAGTATTCCGTTCTCTTTTAATCGAGGAGCTGTTGTACTCCTCGATAACAACGATAAGAAAAGAAAAAGCACACACTGCCGGACGAGAGAGTATCGGCCTCCCCGCCTGTTTGTACCATTTTTGCCCATACGACTAACTCCAATGGAATGATTCCTCTAAGCTGAACCGCGGTAAATAGCACGGGGTGATGAACAGCAGCTATGTGATGATGATGATGATGATGATGATGTCAGTCGCATGCGATATGATATTATAACTAAAAGCGATCCATGCCGTACCCTCGATTAATCCTACATCCAGAGATGTGCGCGGTTATAGTCGGATCACGCCGTTATATCTTTTCTCGGGGGGTGTTGGTTGACTCGAATTGTGACACGTACACTGTGGGAACGGTTCCGGGAGGTTGTCGTAAGATTCGAGGAATGCCAAACGAGAATCTCTCCAATCCCGACTAGTCTGACTAGCGCGATTGCCGATCAAAAGATAATCATATCGATATAAAGTAGCTGAAAAGCGTTTCGAATCGGCGAATCGGCGAGAAGTTAAAGTTGTTGAATCTTACGCAAAATCCCTGCCGCATAAATCATATTCTGGACAAATCTGTGAACTATTGTATCGAGATAAGGATATATTAAGATGTAACGCAGCGGAGGCCCGGTTTATTCGAACGCAGTCCGACCGAACGCTGCCGATCAATCGAACATTATGAGAAACGTTCCGACGGTAAGGAGAGCAGTGTGTCGGCGAGAGGGGGCGGGGGAGGGGGGGGGAGAGAAATACTGTTCGATTAATCGTACGTTCCTTTGCACCGTTCAAGCGGATCGCACGCACGTTCGATCGAACGGCGTTGAGACGATCGCGCCTCCGTTGCACTTGAACAATCATATATACAGGATGTCACAGAATGAACGATAGTGCAATTATCGGCGGATCCGGTGGCGGGAGCAAAGTCGATAAACCCGGAGAGTCGCGCTCGTGCTGGCTCGAAAAAATGAAAATTGGCTGTATCTCAAAACTGTTTTATTCTGCGACAGCCCGCATACATGTGCGCACGTGTGCGCGCCCCGCGCGCGCACGTACGCATATATATGTATATATACATATATTTAAATGCCACCAGCTTGGCTTATATCATGATATTTTCATTATTCGTTTTTTTTGTTTTAATGCATTCGCAAGATTGAAGTAAATTGTCGTAAAGTATAAGTATATTCAAGTAATCGTAGATATTTGACTGATTCGTTGACGGAAATGGTGGATCTCGAAATATGCTTGAGGGGTGCATCGAGAGTGTCATCAATCTTCGAATACATGTCGCATCGGACGTTTCACACTTCTTTCTCTCTTTCTCACGTTTTTCTTTTTTTTTTTTTTGGTCTCCTCCTTTCATCTCTTTCTTTTCTCTCCTCTCGACTTTTTGTTTTGTTTCAGCCTTATTTAACCCGTCACTTTACTTCACGCTCTATCTTTGTGGGACTGTAAAACGGAGCATGGACACATATATATATATATGTACGTCCATATATTATGTGTTTTGTGCGATATCCACTTGTCAGAAGTCATCGTTCTCTTCGTTCATTTACTCTTACAATATAATTGTATATACATATATGTGTATATATGTATACGTGAAAATGCCTGTGCTTTTCTTTACCACGCTTCTCTTCTATCTCTCTCTCTCTCTCT